TGTAATACATTTGCGTTTCTAGAGGATTATGACCACCCATGCCATGCCACTGAGTAACTAGCACTAATAACATTATTATGTGCTGTTCCTGTTCCCCAAATACTCTTATTTTGATGTTTTCAACAGATTCTTGGGCTGCATCCAAATATGCATACTTCCCTACTATATAGAAGGCGAAAAACAGTATGTGGAAAGAGTAGTATGGCAAAATTCACAGTTTTCATAAAACAGTAGGTAAAAGTACCCGGATGACACACTACTTTCACAGAGATTCTGAATGCCCTTTGAATGGAACATATGCTCCCTTAGAAGTGGAATCATGGAGGAGTTTCCTGTGATGTCCACTTTGCAGGGCACTTACGGTTGAATAGAACAAACGTCTGAAGTGATAAGAAACCCATATAAAATGTGCAGAGCGGTGGTACGTGAGGACTGGAATTGAGAACCACTGGTCTAAAAGATGCAGTGTGTGCCTTTCTATCTGGTTAGCTTCTGCCAACAGAATGTGATCTAATTCAAGAAAAATAACTGAAAAGGTATTAGGGTACAATGGGGCTAAAGGCGCCACGGGGTAAAAGGCGCCTTTGATATTATTTTCATCTAAACCACTAGATGGCACAAAAACGTGGCGTAGCACTTTCCAAAACAAGATGCACCTGTATATTTGTCTGATCCTTGACGTGATCGCGCGCAGCAGCGCAAAGATGATTCTGTGCTTACTTGATCTAATATTTTATGTTTTTTAAAATGTTGTAGATTTAAATAGCAAATGACAATCGCTAAAATTAATGCATATATTTTGAGACAAAGGTCTTCTTTATGATTTTCAGTTTTGTTTAAGATAATTAAAGCAACAGTTTTTAAATAAAAAAATCATATGTAAAAGTATGGTATTTGGGGTAAAAAGCGCCCCTGCTGTTGGGGCTAAAGGCGCACAGTAATTAACATGATAATTAATAGATGGCTGACTTTTCCATTTGTTGACATGACATGATTAGTTTCAGACGGTAAATATCATATATTATGTTGGGTGTCCATATTAGAGATAATCACCATGTTTAGAATGAAACCATCATATTTAAAAACATGATATTAATCATATCATATAATAAAATATCATTTGTTTTTACTACTGTAAATATATATTAAATTATTACTGGATCTCCTTCAATACTTTCAGAATCTTTAATTTTTATAGTACATTTCTTCTTAAGGTGGGCCTTTAGCCCCATTGTACCTTACTGATTCCAACATCTATTAAAATTTCTTTTTAAAAATAGTGCCACTGGCAGTAATTTCAGTCGACTTTAGCTGTG